GCATTGGACGCGCTAGGTGTCGGGCCGTAACTTTAAGGATCACAAACCGACGGCGCCGGATTGAGCCTGCGTAAAGGACCAGGCGATTCTCGCTTAGCTTACTTGTGACTGATGTTGGTTGCATGGCAGCGAAGATTCGGTACTGCGTACTGGCGTGCTGCTGAAACCTAGTGCTCAGTTTCGCCTGCTCCAAACGCTACACTAGACATATGATTTCGTATCTATTTACAAAATTTGGATGGTTTTAGACGAACTTGGAATGGAACTTGGAAATCGCGGACTTATGGTAGACCAATTAACTCCTACATCACTGAGTCCGGGATGCAGCGCTACCTGCCCACTTTCTATATGAATGTTGCATTTGCTGAATGCTAACTTGAGGTAACTTCATTGCTCAGTTTATTATCGATGGTAGCATTTAAAAGAAGGATCGTAAAACTGGTGATAAAATGTTAGGTTGAACTGTTCCTTGGAACAGAAAGCAAAGATCGGCCAATAAACAGCCATATGTGCAGTCCATTTCTATGACATTAGCGTTCTAATAGCCAGCTTGTCTTGTTGCAATATATTCAATGAAACATATTCGGCATGGTGTGAATAATAGGACATCCAAACTTTTCGTAAACCACCAATTTTGATGACAACAGCCACAGACTGAACTCACCTTTTTGAAGCTGGTACAAGCTGATGGGAATCATATGTGTTTAGACCAACCTCAATATCTAATCGATTTAAACGAAGTTTCTAGCGGTAAGCTGCATTGGGCGACACGTGTAGCACGTGCTGTGATGCTCACTTGGCGAATGTGAGTTGTCACGGACTTTTCCGTGCAAGCAAGAGAGGGAAAAACGCACTTGATGTGATTGTTTAGGGAGAGAGAGAAATGTTTGTCTACATTCGAACCAAGCGCCGTTTATCTTTGCTATCAATAGTTCGAGAATTCCACCCGGGAATTTCCTACAATCGGTTGTACAAAAGTCTATGATGGGAAAATGTAATAAGCGTACAAGACTCACAGGATTACTTGTGTTGTGAATGTCACGGGAATAAGGAAAAGAAAGCGAACATAAGGTGTACACAGTCATTTAGTGATTATGTCGGAATAGCATAGAGCGTGAAAACTCACCCTACTGGTGACATACGTCGAAACGACTATCATCATCTTATCAACTAATTAATCTGAGAGTAGCATACGTTTGCTAGTGATAAAGATGCACACTCATGGTCAATAGTGGTGCGGGAAAACTTATGCTATGCGAACTAGGATCGGAACCCATCCAGTGTTATATCTGCACGTTATGCGGCAGGAGACAGTCATTCACTTGCAGCGTGTGCAGGTGAAGAAAAATAGTGAACATTCAAATGTACGTGGAAGAAAAAATTCGGCGAGTTTTATTAGATGCAGTGTGGAATGAAAACCGTTTGCAATCCTTCGCACACATATAGTCCTGTCGCTGTCAAGTTGCGGTGCAATAACAGAGCAAATTCATTACCGTCAAAATCAGTGAATGGTAATGCTTGACAAGATTAGAAGCCAGTCGGTTTCCAGAGGATAACCGCTCAACGTGTTAAGTACGAAGAATGCCTGCAAAGCGATTCGGTATAGATGAAGTTGGGGTCAAAGTTATGCATTGAAGAGAGCACTTTATACATCCATGATCAAGGTTTTCTGATGTATTTAACCGTGAGGTACTTGCAGCAAACTTCCAAACCAGATAGTGCTTAACGTGCGCCGAATAGTACCAGACAGTTGTTTCCGCCTGCATGGAACCGATGGATGCGCACTACGTACTAGACTAAAACAGTCGAAAGAGTCATCTATTGCTTTTAAAGGTATGTGGAGAACTACACACTTTGAACTTACAATTTGCTACTTTTGTATCTCGTGTTTCTTTTACAGGCTGCGCTGGTACACATCAGCAATTGCAAGTCAATATGGACTATCCAAAACTTTCGATTACGGCCTCAACTTAATAGAAGTTAGATGTTTGTTTGAAGAAACCCAGTGTGACGAACTGAGATAATGTGGTGGATAATCCACCTTGTCTGGGTGCACGCCAAACAGCTACAAAGTCATTAATGAGTATCCGCTTGTGACCAGTGGTATACAGCAACATAGTCCAAACCGTTGGGTCGGAATCTGTCTCTTAGGTCATTGAATATGCTGTTCAATTGTTTATTTATCGTACACCTAACTTAAGGAATTTATTGAGGAATTAGGATACAGATATTTGGGGCAGCACCAATCTAGTTTATGCTGTGTGGCCCCAGTGGAGTCGGACAGCCAGCGTACACATTTGGATACGACACATATGCTACTGAAACGTTCGGCGCAAGAGCGCAAGTTCCCTTAGGATAATCTGTAAGCCGTACAGGAGGGGAAGACGCACTCCAGAAATTGTGCCATTTTCTTCTCGATGAACAATGTAGAGCCCATAAGGGAGGTGGTCGCACTGAAAAATCTAATTACCGTCCTATAACGCTACTCCCTGTGCTTTCCAAGATTATGGAGTCTATCATCGCTGATGTACTCATGCAGTATCTGAAAAATCACAAGATGATAGCACCAGAACAACATGGCTTCCGACAAAAGCGTACATGCACTACGAATCTGCTACCTGCACGCAACAGCTAGACTAAAGCAGTCGTTGGTGGATCAGGTGTCAAGGTCATTTACCTGGAATTCTTAAAAGCGTTTGATTGACTAGACCACCGATTTCTCTTTCATAAACTTCAACTCTGTCGCACTGTTGACCCACTGCTGCGTTGGATAGGCAATTTCCTGCACGAATGTCGGTTGGAAGTGGGAGTACGATAATCCCTGTCCGACGCAATTGAGGTAGAATGCGGCCTACCACAAGGCTTGGTACTCGGGCACGTCGACATTTGATTTTCATAAACGATCTGGCGAAGGAAATTACTTCGATTTCCCACTATTTGCGGATGATATCAAGTTATGGCGAGCGATCAAAGAATTGAACGACCACCAAAAGCTTCAGCGTGACATCAATACGATTTCAGGCTGGTCAGTTCTGAATACCCTACCGTTCAATGTGGAAAAATGTCACGCTGTTCAATTGCGCCATAGACATGACTACGTGTATAGGCTTGGGTCACATGTATGGCAAACCACCTCCCAGGTACGCGAACTTGGTGCGCTAATTCAAAGTGACCTTAACTGTTCAAAACAGTCAGAGGCAGCTGCGAAGAGAGCAAACCAACATGTCGGCTTGCGGCGGAGAGCATTCGGAAGATTCGGCCCATCCATCTTCCCCATGCTGCACAATTCTTACATGCGCCCTCACGTTGAATACGCCACCAAAGCTTGGCAACTTTGGTTGAAGCGCGACTTAGAAGTACTAGCGAAACGAAACACAGGGCCACCAAGAACGTCAAGGGCCTAAGAAATTTGTCCTATCATCAAAGGCTGGAGTCCCTGGGAGTTTTCAATGGCCTCTACCGAAGGCTGCGCGGCGAGCTCATCTTAGTCTACCAAATATTGAGTGATGCTAATCACGTATGTCGTCAGTTGCTGAAACTCAGTCATAAAACCAAGCACAGAAGTAACCCTCTGAAATTGTGTGCACAGTTTAGCCGCCTGGAATACCGGCGGAGTGATTTTTCTCTTCGGGTTTGCCAACCCTGAAACTCACTCCCAAAATTCATTGTTTCCTAGCTCCAAATGCTATGGATACAGCGTCTAACGAGAGGATGTCAGCACCTCGTAGGCTAGGCATTGTCAGTGACAGTGGAAGATAGGTGGTGCTATATCCCAGTTCACTTGCAAATTATGTAGCTCAGCCAACGTCCCCCATGGCTCAGTGACATAGATTACTGGCTAGTTGGCCTCTGCCTCTAGCGGTAATGGGGTCAATACCCAGTAGAGGAACGACGGAATGCGCACAACTGACGAGCCTCAATAGGACGAAACGCGTCTGGTGTTTTTCCGGACTAGGCTGTGCGATGTAGCTTGTGAACTATTGGGATGAATATCTTAAAAGATTACATTTAAAAATTTTGATACTCAAGAGTAATATCAAATACAAATAGCCTCTCCTAGTTTCAAAACCCTATGGATATAGCTATGAGTTAGTCAAAAAATTCTTACGGAATTAATTTTAACTTAGCCTGAAAATTGTCCACTAAGCAGTCGATTAGGGGGAATGTTCTGATGGTGTCAAACCTCGGTTGGTCTCTTCTCTCTTCCCAGTGATCCAACTAGTTCATTTCGCTTGGCCACTCCCATTACAGCTATATCAATATACTCTTTGAGTAACACAATGCTGGTTAGTTAACTTCATTGGCACTAATGAACGGCATCAAAGTAGAAAATAGCACGTACAGGGGCTTAGGCTGAGGATTAATCCCTATTCGGTCATGCTTTCGTGGTACTATTGCATGGTTAAACTCAGGTAAGGAATCTCCCTCTAGGAGTAATCCAGGTCTGAGAAGCAACTGTTTGTGTTCGAAAATAGACGAAATACCATTAGCTACGCTTGATTGTTCGGTAGTTGATTGGTTCACCGAGCTGAGCACTTTGATTGCAAACGTTGCAGCAGTAGTCGAGGCGACATTTCATGGACGCTTTACGATTAGATGTTTTGTCATGAACATTGTTGAAATGCTAAGTGAAATGTTCGGGAGTCTACAAGCAATTCGTTGTTGTGTCATTTCAGTGGTACCGTTTCCGATTCACGGAGGAGCCAAGTAAAATTAATCCGCGTTGGCCTAGAGAGAGAGGTTGTAACTGTGTTACGGCGATGTAAAGAAAGAAAGGCATCAGCAATACGCCGATACGCAGTACCAACGCTTCGCTGCCGCGCAAGCACTACCGGTCGCATATGGGCTAAGGATACTGCTAGGGTCGCCTTGCCGCTACGCAGGCTCGAACCCGCGCCGTCAGACTACAAGACTGGCTAGATACCTTTAGACTACGGGCCGGTAATGGCGATGAAGATGTGTAAACCTATGGCCAATATGTTAAATTGGCAGTTACTCACGATGTTTTTGAGTTCCCGAGGATGAAAGCTGCTGAGCTGATAGTTTCTCTGGTGGGTCTTTGTCCACAACACCGCCATGTGAGATACCATCAGTGATTCGAGCTGAAGACGGCTGTGTCGGCGTTGGGGCAGCTAGTCGTGGATTGTGACTCATTGTACCTTGAGACAATGGTCTTGGACTGAAACGTGAGGGGCCGTCCTGCATGTGATGGTACATTGTGTACGGGGCACCGTGGTGTAACGCAGACGCTTGATTCAGTACCTTGTATGTTGGCGCAGTTCCTCTGTATTTGGTAAAATCCTTTGCCATTTGGATGTTAAAAGCAGTTGGATAAGGGTGCTCTGATATCGTCCTACTAACTCGTAGGCTGTTAACATTGTCCAGAGAAAATGGATGTTGATTCCCCGTGGCCAACGTGGAAATAGATCCAGGAAATCCGGGATTCGTAGTGCTAGTGGGAAAAGTGGAGGTTGTATGTTTCTTAAACATACGTCCGAGGCTCCCAAACAAGCCTTTTGTTTGATCATCTTTGTCTATACCAATCCCTTGCTCACGCTTGGTGTCCGATAGTGCGCTGAAAGGAAAACAACCATGCAAATCGGTATTGAACTTCCAGGAATCGTACGAAGTGAGGTGAACAACACAAGTCCAGTGATTTCTTATTCAAATAATGCAGAAGGTAAAGTTGTAATCACTCGGATATTTAAAGACAATAAGGTGTTCGTATGTAATAGTGCAAGAGAATACTATACGCTCTCCGATTACACTTAAAGTAGAACGAAAGTTCCAAAAGCTATTTGCGATTTACTGAAACGCCCTGACATGCACCTAAAGGTCACAGAACTCTGATATTCACATGACAGTGCTATATACGGCGTCAAGCTCAGGGTCAGTAAGACCTAAGAGCTTCCGTTGTCCCATTTTGACGTATTAGGTTGACAAACATGCTGAAATGTAGAGACCTAAATTTCAACCACCAGAAGGTGGCTATATGTTCTAAGAAACAAAAGAGACAAATTTTTAGACTGTAGCGCCTCAAAAGATAACCTTCATTTTTTAGGTACACCTTTGGCACTGAAGTGGTGTACAAGTGTTGCATTTGTGTTAATGCCCCCAACCCTCGAGCCACATCCCCGCAATACGATTCACTGCCGTGTATAAAATAGTGTGCGCTCCTAAGTTGCCTTTGTTGGACCTAGCGTCGGATTTCAAAAATTCCAGTCAACCAGTGCACTGGTTTTTGCTGGGCGTGTCACTCTTTCAACCCGTCACACAACTCCTACATCGCTCTTATACTAGTTTGCTCATGGAATGCAAATGACCGCTGATCGCTTAGACCCCTTTGAAATGAATTATGGCCCCGTGGTCTGTCTGTGAAACCTCAAAACATCAAGTGACCATGGTCAGAAAACGGGTAGGTAATGAAGGATGTCATGCGTACTACAATCACTGCACCTCAAAGGTAGGATAATCCGGTGTGACCATACACTGGTATACTTTGGTCGATTGCACGATTACCCGTGTCGCCTACCTACAAAGACAGTAGCCTAAGGGTACTGAAAGTAGTGCTTCTGTCACAACAAATGGCGATGAATTTAATCCACAGCTGGCAGATACTACGCAACACATTTACTTTGGATCTAGGAATGAAAATAGTAGTTGGAGAACCTCAGTCACTCGCTGTCTTCGCGGATACAAGACTAACAGCGATTCAGAAAACCGTGCGCAGAACAGTAGCTATCGAGAAAGCTAAGGATGGACTCAGGTGAGACTAAAAACAGTTTGTATTCATTTTGTGATTTGGCAAATCACCCAAAAAACGATTAGGCGTCAGCTTTTCATCGGTCGACACAAGTTCATCTACTTCGTTTGCTACTCCTCAAGAGCTTCTGATATCCAAGAAGCTTTCCTGTATGTACACCAATGCTCAAAGCATAGTTAATAGATTTTCAAGACTGCGAGTTCGTCAAGGACCAAAGGTCTGTGATCTCGTCTCTATAACGGAGACACGGTTACGCCCCGACATAAGTGTCATCGAGACCCCACTGACAGGCATGTTCTTTGTTCACCATGGCCGATCGACAAAGAGGTGGCGAACATGTAACCTGGGTCGGTGGTTTCAAGTAGCTGACATTGCCGTTAAACACGGCGCGTGCTCCAGACTCCCAGGTTGGTGGCCCCAAGGACAGTGAGCACACCTGCATGCATACACTAACGGACCTGGCTTGGAACCGTATTCAACGGCGCACGTGTCGTGAGACTCTCTTCTCCTGAGTGTTTTTTCTCCACCATTTGTTTTTGATTGTCATTTCCTATGTGTTCTAATGTCGGCCGGTGGCCGAGTGGTCTGCACGTTTGCTTTGCAACCATAAGGTCACCGGATCGAATCCGCGTATGGGTGGCCGTCCTCGCGGTATACTCGGCCCGCGCGCGACTGGTGGTGGTCGCGCGGCAGCGAAGCGCCGTTGCGGCGTACAGCTGACACATTATATATATATATAATGATATATATATATATATATATATATATATATATATATATATATATATATATATATATATATATATATAAAGACTAACATAGGAAAGGTAGAGAGTGGCTCTGCACTTCCGCAGTGATGGACAGTGTTAACGCAAAGAGGATTCGGTTAACACGGTACAGGATTCTCTCTGTTGCCCTCCATGTTAAAAATATCCACGACGCCTGCTTGGTGGTGGTCATTTACTGAAATCTATATTCATGCCAGATGGACTTCAATCTGACATCTGTACTAAGGTGGATGATAAACAAGAAGTACAGTGACATTTCGAGGCGGATCTACAGGATGTCGTCCAGTTTCCCCCTGTATGGCCACATCAAGACTCCCTCCAGATTCATCTAAACAGATCGGTAGCCTCTACTAGATCGTATAGTCACTGTGGAAGTATTGTAGATCGAGTGGGTAATTGTCGACGTCCCCTTGGTCCGCAATGATTACGTAGTCTGGTTGTCGTTTCTGCCGCTGATGCGGTGTTGTTGTTGTTGTTGTTGTTCGAATACATACGTTATGCAGTATCTGCCTTGAACACTGGCGATGCATCGGAAACGATTACACGCCACGACACATAAAACCTCGACTAAGTGAGAAAACTAACTGAACCTCTCGCAGACGAGGTATCGGCTAGCGCATTGAAAAATGTCGTCAACCAGCTTAACACTGGTTGTCCAAGCATCAGCAACTATGACTGTCAACCAGAAAAAGGTAGCCTCGTTTCCACGAAGAACGACACGCAAACGTATGGAGGAGCAAAACCGAATCTGGCCTATCTACAAACACTTTACGAGCACCGAGACCTAGATAGCCTATGCGATCCAACCTAGCCACTGTACTCAGCATGTTCGCGAGAATAGAATGGCACACTAGCAGAAGTTGGTGGTGTGTATGGCTTCAAACCACAAGCTACTGTATCAACACGTACCTAGTCTTCGTAAGGTGAAACGGGGAATTCTTCTTCTTCAAACAGCGGAGTCATATGGACCCCGAAGATTTCGGCGAATATTCTGCGAGTCATCATCATCATCATCATCATACACGTTAGCTAGAGGTGGGGAACACCTCAGCTACTGTGCCGCAATACACAGAAAAAAGGAGAGAAAAAGGCAACAGGTGCAAGCCGGCTGAGCTACCGGTAACGGATGGGCATCGTTCCGGTAAGCTACCAGCCGGCTACTGTGCATCAAAAAAGTACTATGCAAAATGATATAAGGCTAAGTAATGAGATCGTGGTTGGAGGGGAGGCTAAGAGGGATAGGGTGGGACAAAGAAACTCACAGCACGAACGCCACTGAGGTCAGCTCCTAGCCATATCAGCAAGTGTGTCCAACCAAACGTGTTCATCGTCTTTTGGACCCCAACCAGGCAGCCGAGACACTCCAACCGAGGCCAGCTCAAAAGTGAGAGCCTTCATTCCTCTCGACCAAGTCATCGCTTGGCCACCCCTCCTCTGTTTCCATCCACACCCCCGACGCGCAAACAACGCAAGTCGCGGGAGTCGGTGGGCTGGCATGCCTAACATGTGGCCGAACCATCGGAGCCTGGTGCGTGGAATAACGGTGCTAAGCGGTTCATTTCCTTTTCGTGTGCTGTAAACAAGGCGTCGAACACGATCGTAGCTCACGCGGTGTTCCCACCAGAGGTGAGTTAAATTGCGAAGGCACCGGTGGTCGAACGTAACTAGCCTCTTTAGGTCCTTTGCTTTAAGGGGCCAGGATTCACAACCGCACAGTAGGGTCGAACGTACCGCTGCATTGTACACTCTACCCTTGAGGGCAAGTGTGATGTCACGCCGGCGCCATAAGTGGCGAAGGTTAGCAAAAGCGCCCCGAGCTTTTGCTATACGGTTCGTGATCTCATCTTCAATCCCACGGGCGCTGATACAACTTCCCAGGTAGTTGAATTTTTGAACGACTTCTAGCTGAGCCCCACCAACGGTCAGCGTAGGAGGCGGTCCAGACCAATCTTAGAGGGACGCTTTGCACATAGTGGGAGCGAAACAAAGTCCGAAGTGACGGACAGCTAGTGCTAATCTGTCCAGTACCGCTTGAAACATTTGTGAGCTGTCACAGATTAGGGCAATATCATCAGCATACTCTAAGTCAAGAAGTCATTCTCCTGGGAGCAGATCCATACCTTCTAATTCGTCTCCTGTGAATGCGATTTCCATGACTTCGTCAACAGCGAAGTTGAAGAGGAAAGGTGACAGCGGGCATCCTTGTCTAACGCCGCTGGAGATATTGAAGGGCGACGACAACTTGCCGTAAGCCCACACTCTGCCCGAGCTACGCACATATAATGCTAGGATGAAATTCACATATTCCTCAGGTACAACTTTCCTGAGTAGACAGTCCCAAAGTGCATGTCTATCCACCGAATCAAATGCACCTTTGATATCGAGGAACACGACAACAGTGGGCCGCCAATATATGTGACGGTGCTCCAACAACTGACGCAAGGTGAAGATGTGGTCAATGCAGCCACGACCTCGACGAAATCCAGCTTGCGCTTCACGAGTCTGGCTTTCACGAGCGCCAGTCAGTCTGTGCAGGATGAGATAGGCAAGCAATTTGGAGGCAATGGAGGTCAGATTGATTCCTCTATGGCTGCCGCATTCCGATCTTGAGCCTCTCTTGCAAACTGGGGCTATCACGGAGCGACTCCAATCGGTTGGGACAGTTTCCTGTTCCCACAGTTTGACTAGTAAATTGTTCAGCTCATCCACAAGAGCACGTCCCCCGAATTTGAAGAGGGTTGGAGGAAGACCTTGAGGTCCCGAGGCTTTATTTAACTTCAACATTTCGATCTCACGTTCGACTTCTGAGCAAGAGGGTGGATCCAGAGGGACAGCCCAGGGAGTAAGACGATCAGTGGCCGGCGAGAAATCTAACCATTCCGACCGATTAAATTGCCTTTCAAAGTGCTCAGCCCAACGCTCTAAGCGTTGTGATACGTTGTGGATAGGCTGTCCACTCTCGTCACAAATTGTTTCACTAACATCAGGTGTCCTGCTGCCCGTTTCCCGTATCAGACGGAATAA